CCGGAATTTAGAATTGATTTTTTTTCTCATTCACTTTCCAAGAGTTTTCCGTGATTTTTCTCCTGTGAATTGAGGATTGAATAATGCTCGTCTTCGTATTACTTTCACTGCCTTTTGGTATATATATAAGGAAGGGAGAAATTATAATAATGCTTCTCGATCCTCGCTTGGCTACACAAACTCCCGATTTTTTCACGACTGGTGGCTGGGCTTTGCCAATCTCTTTTGTCGAATAAATAAATGATATGTGAAGAAAATTTTTGCACACGAATAACTTTTGTATCCTCACTCTAAGCATCTCCTGTAAACCAATGCTTTAAATATATTTCTCTGATTTATCTTTATTCTCACCATTTGTTCATAAAAACACTAGATTGTCTTTGTGACAAATATATCCTGAACGATACCATCTTCGCCAATGTTCATTTTTTACTCATTCATTTCGGAAGTATTGATTTTGATAATTGAATGGAATAAGAAACTGTTGTCTATTTTAAATAAGGTAATAATGCCTTTGGAACTGGAGGTCTTTTTGTTCAGAATATAAAAGTTAATTGGAGTTCCACGTGTCAAAGTCTTTTTTTCACCTTTAATTATCTTATTTGCTTATTCCATTTTATTACAAAATGCTAGTTTATCGAGACTTATGAATGTTTACTTTACATGGTATTACCTCTTTTAATGTAATTGTACCTTAGGTTCACAGGTTTGTTTACGAATGAGCTATATACGCATGCATTTATGACATACTGTTTATTCATCCTAAAATGTAAAATACAAGATATTAATATGATATAAAATGCTGTAATTAATCACTATGTATAAATTCCTAATTATCGCCTGGTGCTATATCATTTTTTTTTTGCTTCCACTCTCCTAAATTTTTAATTATTTATTTTGATTCGCTGTAAAATTCGTTGTAACAATTCCTTATTTCCTCAATAATGGAGAGACTATTGAATTAAACATCATGTAACATTTTGTATTTTTGAATAAAAATAGCAAGTGTAAGCACTTTTTTCATTTTTTTTGTCATGAAGAAGTTTATATTCACCTTTTACATTCTTCAATGTATCCCTTAAACACCGCAGATGTTGTTCCTGTTGTTTAGATGCATTTTGAATTTGGAAAAACTAGAGAAAATGTCAGTGACTGTCGATAGATTGGAGCGAATCAAACGACCAACTAGTGCGCAGTAGCGTCTCATGAGGAGATTATATACGGGTATGCCCTCTCTATCTGATTGTCGATAGCACGAGGGTGCTAAATACGCTTTGTGAACAATTAAGTTTATTCAACAATTCAGGGAATAATTAGACGGACTTCTAGAAAATTACACGCGAAATTTTAAAAAATCATGAAATTTTTAGGAATTTACTATACCATTTCTGTACAATTCTCCACTGACGGATCAACTTTTTTCTATATTCTGGGGATTCTCAATTTTCAGGTCTGTATGGCACTGAAAAACCGTAAAAATATTGAAAATTCATTTACAATAATTTTTGTCTTCGCGATGAGTATGAAAATTCAAATTTTTATTAGAAAATCAATTATTGTTTAACATGAAAAGGCCAATTCCTTTGAATTTTTAAGATAAATGAAAAATTCATTGCCCCAGAGAAATATTCAAGGAAAATTACGTAGGGGAGAGTCGGGCAAAATGAGACGATTACAGAAATGGGAATTTTTGGTACAAGGCTGCAAAGTATTTTGGCAACAGATTTTATCGAAATTCTGATCAAATGTTGCTAACATACTTTTCAAACCGAGTGGCATATGTTACGAGGCCCGACTAACCGAGTATTTTTATTGCCCAAGGGAGGTAAGTAAAAAGAAAGGCGATAAACGGCAAGTTACCTCCCTAGGGCAATAAAAGTACGAGGTTAGGCTGAGTGGCATAAAATGTTTTACCTCATTCCCAGTTATTTTATTTTTCGCCAAAAAATATTGGAAACAGCCTAAACGTCCCCCAGTGTGTGGGGCGAATTCAATTTTTTTTCTTTTCATTATACTGTTGTTCTTTAACTTTTTTCATTTTTCAACATTTTTAAAAAATACACCATCTACCTTGAATCGCTTTTTTTTAATAATTTTTTATTTCTCATAGTGAAATCCCTTATGTATGGGAATTTAAGATTTTTTATCAGTCAAGTGTAATAAAATTCTGGAAAAACTGAAATGTTGAATAATGGATTCTTATGATCGATTTTTTCCTCTTTTCTCTGATTGAATCTCTCAATTCATCCCATTTTACCCGCATTCCAATTTATCCCGTGTCCCATTTTGCCTACCGTCCCGTTTTTCCCGGGTCTCCCCTATCTAATGATGAATTTTCATAACGAGCATGAAAAATTAAACTTTCATTGGAAAATCAATTATCATCTAATATGAAAAACTCTATTTTCTTAAATTTTTAAGGGAAATGGAAAATTTACTGCCCAGAGAGAAATATTCAATGGAAGTTACGTATATTTCGGTCCGCCATTTTTGTCTCAATTTTCTGTGAAAAATTACGATTCACACCCCGTAAATTTTCTTAATCCCTTTCATAATCAAGAAACAAATTAAAGTTCTGTAATTTTAATTGAATATTTCCCTCGAGTTAAACTTTTATAAAGAGCATTCCACACTTTTTCGATATGTTGTAGATGTCCAAAATATTTCTAACCCGAAGAAAAAAAAGCCAAAATTTTTTTTCAAAAGTTATACAACATACAAAATAGGTGCTCCGGGATATGCGATTATTGACAACATTACAATTCGATAAATATTGGTTGTTCTTATTGGTTTTGAAAAATCTAGCAAAAGTTTTTTCTGGCCAATCAAAATAGTGTAAAATGCCTCATAATTAATGCCTCATAATCAAATGACTCTGTGAGTTTTTGATAATCAAAAATTGATACGGC